TGAAGCAGAAGAATGATTCAGTGAGCTGGGAGATAAAATGGTGAAAATAACTTCTGAAGAGCAGAATAAAGTAAAAAGNTTCTGTGCTCAGCTTTCTTTACAGTCCTACTCTAACATCTATACATGACCACTGGAAAAACCATAGCTTTGACTAGATGGACCTTTGTTGGCAAAGTAATGTCTCTGCTTTTTAATATGCTGTCTAGGTTGGTCATAGCTTTTCTTCCAAGGAGCATGGAAGAATTTCATGGCTGCAGTCACCATCTGCAGTGATTTTGGAGCCCAAAAAAATAGTCTGTCACTGTTTCTACTGTTTCCCCGTCTATTTGCCATGAAGTGATGGGACCAGATGCTATGATCTTAGTTTTCTGAATGTTGAATTTTAAGCCAACTTTTTCATTCGCCTCTTTAACTTTCTTCAAGAGGCTCTTTAATGCTTTGCTTTCTGCCATAAGGGTGGTATCATCTGTGTATCATGCTAACAAAGACTAAATACAAAGAAAAAATATTAAAAGCAGCAAGAGAAAAGCAACAAGTAACATACAAGGGAAAACCCCATACATTTAACAACTGATCTTTCAGCAGAAACTCTGCAGGCAGGAAGGGGGTGGCAGGATATATTTAAAGTACTGAAAGGGAAAAATTCTACAATGAAGAATCCCTAGCCAGCAAGGATCTCATTCAAAATTGATGGAGAAATAAAAAGCTTTTCAAACAAGTGAAAGTTAAGAGAATTCACTACCACCAAACCAGCTTTACAACAAATGTAAAGGGATTTATGTAGTCAAGAAATATAAGAGACGGGAAAAGATCTACAAAATCAACCCCAAACAATTAAGAAAATGGCAATAGGAACATACATATCAATAATTATTTTAAATGGATTAAAAGCTCCAACCAAAAGATACAGACTGGCTGAATGGATACAAAAACAAGACCCATATATATGCTGTGTACAGGAAACCCACTTCAGACCTAAAGACACATGTAGACTGAAAATGAGATGATGGAAAAATACAGTCCATGCAAATGGGAAGCAAAAGAAAGCTGGAGTAGCAATCTTCATATCAGACAAATAGACCTTAAGATAAAGAATATTACAAGAGATATGGAAGGACACTACATAATGATCAAGGGATCAATTCAAGAGGAAGACATAACAATTGTAAATATCTATGCACCCAACATGCTGCTGCTGCTAAGTCACTTCAGTCGTGTCCAACTCTGTGCGACCCCATAGATGGCAGCCCACCAGGCTCCACCATCCCTGGGATTCTCCAGGCAAGAACACTGGAGTGGGTTGCCATTTNAAAAGAATGAAATTAGAACACTTCCTAACACATACACAAAGATTAAACTCAAAATGGATTAAAGACCTAAATGTAAGACCAGAAACTACAAACTTCTTAGAGGAAAACATAGGCAGAACAGTTGATGACATTAATCAAAGCAAAATCCTCTATGATCCACCTCCTAGAGTAACAGAAATAAAAACAAAGGTAAGCAAGTGGGACTTGATTAAACTTAAAAGTTTTGGCACAGCAAAGGAAACTGTAAGTGAGGTGAAAAGACAACCCTCAGAATGGGAGAAAATATTAGCAAATGAAACAACTGACAGGATTAATTCCAAAATATACAAGCAGCTCATACAACTCAATACCAGAAAAACAAACAACCCAATCAAAAAGTGAAAGGAAAAGACTGTTAGGAAAAGACCTAAACAGACATACAGATGGCTAACAAACATGTGGAAAGATGCTCAACATCGCTCATTATTAGAGAAATGCAGATCAAAACTACCATGAGATATCACCTCACACCAGTCAGAATGGCCATCATCAAAAAGTCTACAAACAGTAAATGCTGGGGAGGGTGTGGAGAAAAGGGAACGCTCTTGTACTTTTGGTGGGAATGTAAGTTGATACAGTCACTATGGAAGATGGTATGGAGATTCCTTAAAAAACTGGGAATAAAGCCACCAGCAATCCCACTCCTAGGTATATCCCCTGAGGAAACCAAAATTGAAAAAGACACATTATTCATTGCAGCACTATTTGTAATAACTAGAACATGGAAGCAACCTAAATGTCCATCAACAGATGAATGGATAAAGAAGTTGTACATATACACAATGGAATATTACTCAGCCATAAAAAGGAATGCCTTTGAGTCAGTTCTAATGAGATGGATGAACCTGGAATCCATCGTACAGAGTGAAGTCAGAAGAGAAAGATAAATATCGTATTCTAATGCATATATACAGAACCTAGAAAAATGGTACTGAAGAATTTCCTTACAGGGCAGCAATTCCGAAACAGACATAAAGAATAGACTTGTGGACATGGGGAGAGGGGATGAGAGGGTGAGATGTATGGAAAGAGTAACATGGAAGCTTACATTACCATATATAAAATAGATAGCCAACAGGGAATTTGCTGTGTGGGTAAGGAAACTCAAACTGGGGCTCTGTATCCACCTAGAGGGTTGGGACGGGAAGGGAGGTGGGAGGGAAGTTCAAAAGGGAGGGGATGTATGTATACCTGGCTGATTCATGTTGAGGTTTGACAGAAAACAACAAAATTCTGTAAAGCAATTATCCTTCAATTAAAAAAAAAAAAAACAGAGACATCACTTTGCCAACAAAAATCCATATAGTCAAAACTACAATTTTTCCAGTAGTCATGTATGGATATGAGAGTTGGACCATAAAGAAGGCTGAGTGCTAAAGAATTGATGCTTTTGAGTTGTGGTGCTGGAGAAGACTCTTGAGAGTCCCTTGAGCTTCAAGGAGATCAAACCAGTCAACCCTAAAGGAAATCAAGCCTGAATACTCATTAGAAAGACTGATACTGAAGCTGAAGCTCTAATACATGGGCCCCCTGATGGGAAGAACAAACTCACTGGAAAAGACCCTGCTGCTGGCAAAGATTGAGGACAAGAGGAGAAGGGGGCGACAGAGAATAAGATTATTAGATAGCTTCTCTGACTCAATGGACATGAATTTGAGCAAACTCCGGGATATACTAAAGGACAGGGAGGCCTGGCGTGCTACATCCATGGGGTCGTAACTAGTTGGACCAACTTAGCGCCTGAACGGTAACAAATGCAAGAGAATGAAGTTAGACCCCTACCTCACACTGTATAGGAAAGTTAAAATGGATCAAGGGCTAACAGGATGTAGATTTTCTTGACCTTGGATTAGGCAAAGGTTTTTAAAATATTTCAGATCATGTGTCTGATCAGAATCTAGTTCCAGAATATATAAAGAACCCTTATAGAGTTCAACAATAAAAAGACAGTGCAATTTTAATTTTGACCAATAATTTAAATACATATTTCTCAAAAAAAATATACACATGACCAGTATGCACATGAAAAGATGTGCAACATCATTAGTCATTCAGTTCAGTTCAGTCGCTCAGTCGTGTCCGACTCTTTGCAACCCCATGAACTGCAGCACGCCAGGCCTCCCTATCCATCACCAACTCCCAGAGCCTACCCAAACTCATTAGTCATTAGGGAAATGTAAATCAAAACCAGAGTGAAGTACTACTTCATACCTTTTAAGGTAAATAATATTGAAAAAGGGACAATAACAAGTGTTAATGAAGCTGTGGAGAAATTGCAAATCTCATGCATGGCTAATGGAAATGTAAAATTATGCGACTGCATTGGGGAAAAAATGTGGCAGTTCCTCAAAATTTAAACAGAGTTTCCATATGAACTAGCAATTCTATTCCTAAGTTTATACTCAAGAGTTTTTTAAAATGTATTTACATAAAAGCTTGTACACATATATAGCAGCATTATTCATAATAGAAGTGGAAACAATGCAAAATGATCATTACTTTATGTATAGATAAACAAATTGTGGTATATCCATACAATGTACTATTATTCAGTAATAATATATGATACAAGGACCTTGAAAACATCATGCTAAATGAGAGAAGCCAGACACAAAATGCCATATATTATAAGATTCTAGTTTATGAAGTGTCCAAAACAGATAAATCTAGGGCTTCCCAGGGTGGCATTAGTGATAAAGAACCCACCTGCCAATGCAGGAGATAAGAGACACAGGTTTGATCCCTAGGTCAGGAAAATCCCCTGGAGGAGGGCATGGCAATCCACTCCAGTATCTTGCCTGGAGCATACTATGAACAGAGGAGCCTGTGGGCCACACTTCATGGTGTCACAGAGAGTTGGACACGACTGAAGCCACTTTGCATGCACACACATGCATATGAACAGAAAGTAGATTACTGGTTGTCAGGGGTTAGGGGAATAATCCGAGTAATTCAGCGAGACTAATGGGCGTGGGGTTTCTTTTTTGGTGCGATTAAAATATTCTGTAACAGATTGTGTTATAGGTTGCAGAACCTTGTAAATGTACTAAAGAACTACAGAATTTTAAAATGTTTAATAATTTTTAAAATAAAACAATTAGCAAATTGAGCCCCACAATCCATAAAAAGAATAATGCACCATAAACATAGTGGTTATTTTAGGAATGAAAAAAAGGCAAGCTCAATATCTGACATTTTGCTAGTGTAATCCACCAGAACAACTGCATGATTATATCAATTGGTGCAAAATTTTTTTTTACTTTTTACAAAGTTATTCATTTATGATAAAAACTTGTTAAATCAGAATAAAAGTTATCTACATAAAATCTACAGCTAGTATAAGGTAAAAAATATTCTGTGTATGTAAGGAAGGTTTGGAGGAAATAATTTTTATAATTTTCTTGACTTTTGAAATAGAATGCATGTAGCATTTTTGGGTATAGTAGCTGGCAAAGGTAGTTGGCAAAAGGGTGTTTTTAAATACACCTACTCTGGTACTTTGTAGTGAGTAGTTTCTATAAACCTTATTCATAATCATGACTTTGATTAAAGGACACATCATTAATTTTCTCAATTTTCTCTCTGTCCCATTAGAAATTTGACTGTTTTGCACTGTTGTATTTATCTTACTCTCTCCCTATTTTTTAACAGGTGTATTCGACACAAGAATGATTGGGGGGCTCTTATTCTAGTCGATGACCGCTTCAGGAGTAACCCAAGTCGATACATATCTGGTAAGAGTCTCAGCTGGGCTTAGAGTAAGAGTTGGTAGCAAGCTTTATTATTTAATGACTTCTATTTTTAAAGACAAAGAATTGGATAGAGAATTTGAATTACTAGATCTAACATGAAAAAATTCACATTGCCTGGAAATCTAACCTTTTAATGCCTCTATGTTTACAAAAGATCTTTAGAGAGAAGAATCTGGTTAGTTCTAATGTAGTATTAATCAATTAAGATCCTTCAGTTTCATCAAAATGTGGTTTTGATTCAATAGCATAGCAGTAATTTATTTAGCATTGTCGGGGAAAAAAACTGTTCCACAGAAATTAATTTTTCAAGAAATATTAATTTTTTACATTTAAGCACACAAGCAGTTCATTGGCTGCATAGGATTCTTCTTTCATTTTGAATTATTTGAGTTTTATTGTTGTTTGTTTGTTTAGAAATGCTTCTGTTGTTACAGAGTTTATATTAATCAGAGTTCGTATCTTCTAAAAAGAAAAAAATGCACCACTGCATACTGCAAGATGAAGTAGATGGTCCTTTTTCCCCCCTCAAATGAGCAAATACTGTGTGCCTATTGTTTTCATCCAGCTGTAGTTCAGTCCCTTTGAAATGAATATCAGGAATCTATGTTATTAAAGAACTGTTAGAAATACTTGCATTTTTATTGTTAGCTTTAGAGCTAAAAATTTCGTACCATACTATAATATAATGAAATGACGCTAATTTTGTTTCAGATTAGCTGTCTATGTATATGTACTCTACTTTTTATATTTCAGAACCTAATCATTATATCTGATTCAATATTAAAACATATCCACCTGGATTGAAGCAGGAAATGCTGCTTTATTAATCTTTTCCCCTCTTTCCCTGTAGAGCAAGCCATTGAGCTTAGGCCAAGTCATAACCAAAAGCAAATGTTAAGCGCCTATGTTTAGTCAGCAGGTGGAGCTCAGATTCTTTCAAGTTTTCAAAAGCAAACTGACATTTTATACTGAAAAGGCTTTTTTTTTTAAATCACAAAAAGGTCAAAATCAAAGTGATAATTATAATGCTAAAATTTTTAAATTGGAAAATTTTTCATATTTTTATTTGGTATAATTATTTTCCCCAGGCAAACAAAAATCAAGAACTTTAAAGAAATGCATATTTTAAATTTCTTTTCTTTTCAAATCTAGAACTGAAAATTTTACCTCAGATTCATTGAGAGATTTTTTTTTAATTAAACATTTTTTATTATTTTCTATAAGATTTTTATTTTTTTCTGAGACTCATGAAGAAGACTGAAATCTTATGTAGGCAGTAACAGCACAACATACAGATTCCTTTTGATGACTAATTTAAGTTTAAATTCAATTTGCCTAAGAATAGATTGATAGGAAGTCTCCATTAAACAGAAAAACTAAAGGAATGTATTTGTAATGAAAGTCTAATTGTTCAAGTTGCTTGATGCCCTGTCTTATCTTCCTCTCAACTGAAAACGCCATAATGAATTTTTAAACTACTCCAAACGATGATTATAGTTTTAGCAACATCAGCAGAGAATATTTATTTTCTAAAGTCCAAATTTCTGAATTTCATTCTGAAGTGGGTCATTGTCCAAAACACCTTATCCTGTTAATATGGCTTATTTTTATGCAGTTTTCATATGTCACAGGGTCAAATCTTATCCCTTATAACTTGATTATTTATATATTAAAAATACATATATATATTCATATAGGACATGATTTACCCATAAAATGGTGTTATTCCTTTTACCCAGAATAGTTTAATATATTTGGAATTGGGAGAAGGGAGACCAAAAAAAACACCCTTTGAGATTGTGAAAGTGATAAAGGGTAAGTGGTTCAGTTGTGTCCGACTTTTTGTGACCCCAAGTACTATAGCTTGCCAGGCTCCCCTGTTCATGTAATTCTCCAGGCAAGAATACTGGAGTGCGTAGCCATTCCCTTCTCCAGGAGATCTTCCTGACCCAGGGATCAAACCTGTCTCTCCTGCATTGCAGGCACATTCTTTTACCACATGAGTCCCCAGGGAAGTCCAGGAATAGCAGAGGGGGTAGCCATTCCCTTCTCCAGGGGGTTTTCCCCACCCAGGGATTGAACGTGGGTCTTCTGCATTGCAGGCAGATTCTTTACCATTTGAGTACCTGGGAAGCCCAAAGTGAAAGCGTTAGTCACTCAGTTGTGTCCAACTTTTTGCAACCAGATAGACTGTAGCCTCCCAGGCCCCTCTGTCCATGGAATTCTCCAGGCAAGAATACTGGAGTGGGTAGTCATTCCCTTCTCCAGGGGATCTTCCCAACCCAGGGATCAAACTCCAATTTATTTTTGCTCAAGGAATCAAATTTAAAAGTTGTAATAAGAGACTGTGTTGTTTACAACTTCTGTTTTCTCTGCAATTAAAAGATAGGCAGTTTTTGTGGGGAATTGTAATAAAATTCCCCTTCATGGATCACAGCCTGTTGCCTGCAAGGGGCTTGCGTAACTCAAGCTGTGAGCCGTGCTGTGCAGGGCCGCCCAAGACAGATGGGTCACGTGGAGAGTTCTGACACAGCTTGGGTGCACCGGAGGAGGGAAGAGCAAACCGCTCCAGTATTCTTGCCGCGAGAACCTCATGAACAGTATGATAAGGCAAAAAGATAGGAGCCCCAGGGACATGAAAGACACTTGCTCCTGGGAAGGAAAACTGTGACAAACCTAGACAGCGTATTAAAAAGCAAAGACATCACTTGGCCAACAAAGATCCATATAGTCAAAGGTGTGCTTTTTCCAGTAGTCATGTATGAATTTGAGACTTGGACTATAAAAAAGGCTAGTCGCCAGAGAATTGATGCCTACAAATTGTGGTGCTGGAGAAGACTCTTGAGAGTTTCTTGGACTGCACGGAGATCAAACGAGTCAATCCTAAAGGAAGTCGGCCCTGAATATTCATTGGAAGGACTGATGCTGAAACTGAAGCTCCAGTACTTTGGCCACCTGATGAGAAGAGCCGACGCTTTGGAAAAGACCCTGATTGAGGGCAGGAGAAGAAGGGGGCGACAGAGGATGAGATGATTGGATGGCATCACCTACTCAATAGACATGAGTTGGGGCAAACTCTGGGTGATGGTGAAGGACAGGGAAGCCTGGGATGCTGCAGTCCATGGGGTCACAAAGAGTCAGACACAACTTCGTGACTGAACAATAACAACAATGATAAAATTAAATTTGCCTTATTCCTCTGTTATTCAGATGAATGAATAATGCATTTCCCTATCTCCATTCTACTTCTATTGCCTCTTCCTTCCATCCAGTTGACAATCACTGCATGTAAAGAGAAATGCTACTATACAAGAGCATATTGTGCTTACGAAGGTAAAAAGGCAGGAAAATGGTTGAGAACCATTCTATATACTCTAAATTCAAAGTAGATTACTTCACCAGAGGAGTTACCTAATTGTTTTTCTTAGTATATAGTCAACGAATAACCAAAGTTTCTTTGCTGGGTTTACTTTTTGCCTTAGGACTTTCTAAATGGGTTCGACAGTTGATTCAGCACCATTCAACCTTTGAGAGTGCACTGGAGTCCTTGGCTGAATTTTCCAAAAAGCACCAAAAGGTCATTGCTGTGTCCAAAGAAGACAGAAAATCTATACAGGACAATGAGTCTACACTTGGGGTGGCTTGTTCGAAGGATAGTACCTATTTTTTAGAAGCAGCAAGCCATTTATCACCAGAATATGCTATGGAAGGTAAAGCAAAAATGTGTTTAAAACTACCATATCCTAAAATGATAAATGAAAGTCCCATCTTTACCAAGAGGCATCGTCTCCAAAAAGGAGAAAAGTATGAAAAGTTCTACCCATTTACATTTAGTAGAGAAATCTCATTATATTCAGTGAAATGATACTTGTTATGCTACAGATTAATGTCCTTAAATATGTTGGTTTGTAATATAAGGTGTTATCATAAAATAATGAGATAGTATAGTGTATTGGAATGGGAACAAACTTTTGTCAGAGACCTATACATATTTTCTGGTTTTCCACTAAGAAACTTTGCTGCTAACTGTGACCCTCTGAGCAAGTCACTTAATATTTTGAGTCTTAATAGGAGAAGGAATATCTGCCTACCTGTCCCTCCAGGTTGGGTTGTAAAGATCTAATAAGATGATATATATCACAACATTGTAAAGAACTGTACAAATGGTAATTTTTTCTAAAGATGATATTAAAAACTGACCTAATTTATAGATACTTGTCTTACATAAATTATTTATTTAGAGACGTGAAAGTCATTTATTCCAAATGATAAAAAAAAAACATTTTAAAATATCAGAATATGCTAGATTAGAATATGATTTGAAAAGTTAGAATATAATTTAAATAGAGTATAATATATCAGGAGTTAGCAAATTATGGCCTATGGACCAAATTTGGCCTGCTCTCTGATTTTGTTCGTAAAGTTTACTGGCATGCAGTCACAGTCACTTACATATAGTACACAAGACCAGAGTTAAGTAGTTGTATATATTACACTAGAACAGCATAATTGAGTAGTTGCAACAGATACTATATGACCCACAAAATCTAAAATATTTATTGTCTGGCCTATTACAGAAAAAGTTTGCTAAACTGTGTTCTAGATCATTGGATATCATTTTAATTGTTTTATTTAATATATAATAGTTGTTTAATATATCAGTTTTTAAATATTTATTTTATAGTATATTCTTGTATCCTAACTAAATGTTATAGTGAATTCTAGGCCATTATACTGGTAATCAGGAAACCTAGTTTCTAGTCCAGGTCTGATTACCAACCAATTTTATAACCTCAAGCAAATATCTTAGTCTTTGTGGTTGTCAGGTTTGTTTTTTTTTTTTTTTGGGTTGTCAGCTACCTTAAGGGAATTAATCTGGGTCAGTTTTTCTCAATCACTGGTTAGTGGGTTTTTAAGGCAGTTTTGCAGCCTCTTTCCTCCTTTACTCAGCCTTCTTTTGCTTTTTACCCTTCCTTTTCTTGTTCACTTCTGAGGTCTCTGGTGTGGAATTTGATAGTTTACCAGACCGCGTTATAACTTGGGCTCAGAATCACCAGAGACCTAAGATTCCTTTCAGAGTTAACATGTTGTCCTCTACATTCTAAAATGGAAGTCCTGCTACCTCTTGTTAGGGGCTCTGAATTATGTAGCCTATACAGTTATTTCAGTATTTCTAGCAAAATCACTTTTAATGTAACAATTATGATGTTAGGAGCAGAAGGTTAACACTCTTATGCTCTTATATTTGTAGATGATCCAGAATTATTAGAAGAGTCTGCCCAGGCAGTAGGAGCAGAAAGAATTGTGATTTCCAGATCCACAAGCCCAACCTTCAGCAAACAAACAGACCGAGTTAGCTGGTCTGGCAGTAATTTGGGGGGACAGTATCTCACTGGTAAAATTCTGACTGGAACCCCTGTGGTTAGGTCATCAGAGGACTGTGCCTCTACTTCTTCCACTTTCAAAACAGAAAAGAAATGTGAAACAGTTTTGCCACTCACTGATAAATATGAGTCCTCATCTCTGACAGTAGATACATCATTTGGAGCATGCCCTCAATCAGAAACCATTGTTCCATCTGCAAGCGTTGATGCTGCTAATCTGAATTCAGAAGATCCAGCAATTCAGTTGTCTGTAGTAAGTGAAGAAGCTGAACCTTCTGCTTCAAATACAGCTTCTGAAACAGAAGCAGATGAGTCTATCTATTTTACACCTGAACTTTATGATCCTGTAGATACAAGTGAAGAGAAGAATGAACTAGCTGTAGCTGAGAGAGACAATAGATTGACTAATAGTTCAAACTGCATTTTAATTGAAGATCTTTTTGAAATTAAAACTACAAAAGGAGTGGATTCAGTCAGAGAAATGAAAGCTGAGGACCAAAGTTGAAAAGACTCATGCCTATTTAAGAAAGTAAAGTTGATGACCTTGGTAGTAATGTAAAAACAACTCATAAATGAAATGGAACTGGGAAAATACTCAGGAAATGGATATAAAGAACTTTAAACAGTCTCCTTCCAAAAATAAAGATGTGTTCCCTGGTGTTAGGTAATAATACTTAACTGTCAAGCTATAAAAACATACCCTCATGCATATATTCAACTATATTGTAAATGATAATTTATATATTGGATAAGTAGCATGGTTTTGGGGGACTTTTTTAGTTTGAGATCTATTTTTCACTTTAATCCAAAGACTATATTATGTTTAAAAATACAAGTTTTACTACTCTTGAGTTTTAATAAATTTTTTCTTAAAAGATATTTTCTTTCAAGAAGTTTTCCTCTGCTAAATGCTATATTGAATTAATCAGTTTGAAAGATATGTAGTTGACTAGTGCACTTTAAATTTCACATGAATATTTGTTTTTATAGTCCTCTTCATCCATTTGTTTTCATACTGATCTGTAAAAATTAATAGCAATCTAATCCAGTCACCCATGGATCATGTTTCTCTAGATTTTACCTCAGATCAGTCTGAGATTTTTTTTTTTAGAAGTCACAGTCTTCTTGAAAAGTATATTCCTATATTAAACTGCCTACTTATAAGTAATTAAGAATTAAGAAAACTACATGCATTTCTAATTGAAATTGTTTTTTGTTCGTTAAACCTAAATCAAGCATGTTTTAAACAAATTTATATAAAATCATAAGATACCAAATTAAGGACTCCAAATTTTCAATTCTGATTGTTTAGCTTCATTACCATTGTGGAAAATGTGATCTTTTCTAGCTGAAAGGTTTCAATTATGCAGCCAAGATAGGAAACTTCAAATATAAATTTAATAAGTAAACCCAAACATGTAACAGTAGCTGAAAAATGTTCTGTGGTTATCTCAGTAATAAGCCTTTCTGTAAATTTTGACTCTGTATTTTTATGAATGAAGCTGTACTTCTGATTAAAAATGGTTATAAAAGAAGCTCTTCTCTGACATCATTCCAAAAATACATTCACTGATCTTTTCCAAGAAACATCTGTTATTCAGTAGACATTTAGGCTTCTTGTGAGTGATTTGAATTGAAATTTTATGAGTTGTTCAAGTTGTGGATGTGTTTCATTATTTTCAATTCAAAATTCTCTGAAGTCAGGTATCTTTTTATTTGGGGCAGTGATTTATTATATATGAATATGTTTACTTTCATGTCAATGGCATTTAGATTGAATACAGCTTAATTGTTTCTATAGCATTGGGTGTTACAACTCTGAGCATAATTCAAAGAAATTTAAATGGATAATTTACCAGTTAAAGATTATATCTGTAGATTGGGATATATTCAGTCCCATCTAGTATTAGATCTTTTTCTTAGGTGATCAGTAAAAAGTTTCAAACACTGGATTAGAAGGTAATTTCTAAATTGTTTTGAATGGGTGAAATCATTTGTCCTCTTTGGCGTAGTTTTTCATCCACAGATAAAGGGTAGGGTGATAGTAGGAAAAGTGCCAGGTGGAAGGCAAGAGACTTGGGCTCCATTCTTGGCTCTGCCACTAAAATTTGCCAAGTCATGCCTTTTGGGGAATTAGTTTCATCTGTGAAATGTGTAGTTTGATACTATAAAATCATGCAAATCCCTTTCAACCTTAAAAATCCATAATTTAAAGGAGTATATGTTGATATTTTATTCTGAATCAATTTTCATTTGCTTTTGCTGCAAAATGCTTAAAGCAAACCATTTGTATAAAAATAACATGAATAATTGTATGAATATGTGCATAATAACTTAGGAAGGAAAATATTTTAACATTGCTACGATTGAAATATTCCTGAATGCTTAAAATTGTCTTTAGAAGAATTGGTAAACTACTGGAGAAGAACCAAGTACGGCATTTTTTAGTCATATCTTAGTGTGATTATCCAAAGGAAAGAAAGTGAAGGTGTTAGTCACTCAGTTGTGTCTGACTCTTTGCGACCCCATGGCCTGTGGCCCACCAGGCTCCTCTGCCCATGGAATTCTCCAGGCAAAAACACTGGAGTGGGTAGCCATTCCCTTCTCCAGGGAATCTTCCCAACCCAGGGATCAAACCCAGGTCACCTGCATTGCAGGCAGATTCTTTACCATCTGACCCACCAGTGTTATTATCCAACTCAATCTCAAAATACCACCTCTTTCCCTAGATATAATTTATTCTTGCCAAAATCTAATTTTCTCCAAGGTTAAAACTTTCAATTACTGAGAATGCACTTAGAGATGTGGCACAAGCTTATAGTAATCCCAAGTGGTGTTTCAAAAATTTTGTACAATGATTCCACAGTTGCAACAGGTATATCTTCTCAGATCACAGCTTTGACCAGGATGGTTTTGCAAGAAGTAAAGTACTAGGTCTTTATAAAGAGTATGAGGTAGGACATTTTCATTAGTGATAGAATACTTTTTAAAGAGATGTTTTAGAAAGTTCAAGTTAAAACATATAAAAGCATTTAAAAGAGTATCTGACTTATGGCAAATCCTCAGTTATTACTTGTTAAATCAATCATATATGTGGAGCACACTCTTGCTTTATATGGAGTCTTCCCTAATGATAATAGATTAGATAGATAGATAGGTGATAAAGTGACAATAAAGAATCATTGTATAGTAGCTCAGTTCTGTCGCTCAGTTGTGTCCAACTCTCTTTGCAACCCCATGGACTGCAGCACGCCAGGCCTCCCTGTCCATCACCAACTCAGTTCCTCAAGTCAGTGATGCCGTCTAACCATCTCATCCTCTGTCATTTCCTTCTCTTCCTGTGTTCAATCTTTCCCAGCATCAGAGTCTTTTCCAGTGAATCAGTTCTTCGCATCAGGTGGCCAAAGTATTGGCCACCAATGAATACTCACGACTGATTTCCTTCAGGATTGACTGGTTGGATCTCCTTGCAGTCCAAGGGACTCTCAAGAGTCTTCTCCAACACCACAGTTCTAAGCATCAATTCCTCTCTGGTCAGCTTTCTTTATGGTCCAACTCTCACATCCATACGTAACTACTGGAAAAACCATAGCTTTGACTAGACAGATCTTTATATAGTAATAAGGAGAAGTCATTTGGCTAGTTTATTTTTTAAAGCTTTTGAGATATTTAAGACAAGTTTTTTCATCATGTAATTTGCCTTACCCATTCAATGCAAATTAGGTAATTATCTAATAATTTATTTAAGGACTAAAAATACATAGAGCATACAGGCCACGAATCAGCAAAATGACCAGTTGGAGAAAAGGCTTAATTCATGGAAGAAAGGTACATTGTAAACAGCAGATGTTTCATGACTTTCAATATTTACATGAATCATTTAAAACTTTTAATAATTATGTTAGAAATTAATGATAATTCTTTATGCTACTACTGTGCATTTAATTATTACGTGGTTTTTAATTTGATATTGTTTCCAAGTTCACGTAAGACTTTGTGCTTTATTTTTTCTTCTTTCTATTTAAGGCATTAATTTTTTGAAGGCTTTTCCATGTTGTGTTTCTACAGTATGACCTTGTGCTATGTTCCTATAGTTAAACACATTCAAGCTACTTAATTCTTTGGAATTGCTTATAAAACTTCATGAAATCAAAATGACTATTGTAAAATCACTTGGAAGATTGGTTATTGTCATTTAATCTCTGATGACATTTTTTGGATAGTTGCTTACTACACAGTTCTTGCTCGTGATCTTTTTAGACTCAGATTTATCAGCATGCTGCACAAGATTTTAGTTTAATCCGAATGAATTTGTGGTAGATTCTTGTCTATTTCCATAGACAAATGCAGTCAATTTTTTGTAAATAGAAAGGCAGTATTAAAACTGAACTTTTTCATAATAAAAAATAAATTTAAGACCACATCAGACAGTGAATATCTAAGAAAGCTAAAACTAATATAAAGTAGCTATGTAGCAATTAAACATAAAGACATCACTTCAGGAAATGGAAATTTAAATAGATGACCTAGGCTTATGATTTTCTAGGCTTAAATGATTTTCATGTCTACTAAAAAAAAGCATTTTGTTTCTTAAGGTTTCATTTGATAGACCATTAGCTGCCTGGCTTCCTGTACTTTACAATGGGGCCTTGTTATAATATCCATGTGATCTGAGCCAGTGGATCACCTTATTGGTGAAACCATCTTATAATGAAGTAAGTAACTTCATTGTCCAGTAGCTAAACTCCTGGACAAGATCCAAAACAACCCATCTTACACCAAATTCCACTCTGTAATAAACAAGTTTCAACATATTGCAAGGAAAACAAAAATTATATGAAACTTACTATTCCCATAAATTTAACCTTTGAAAATCTAACAGTAAATTCTGATTAAAAGGAATATTTGTTAACAAGACACAAAGAGGTAGGTATTTTAGTACACTTTAAAACTTTATTTTTTTATTTTGGTCTTCTTTTTAAAATCAACTTTTATGATTTTGATTCTTTTGTGCTTGTGCCAAAAATGTCATCAATTTACATTAAATTATTTTATGTCAGTATTTACAAAGCTAAATTAAAAATGTTTCCTTTGTCTCCTTGCTATTACAAAGTACTAATTGTACCAGTACCATGTCATTTATGTAAACTAAGTTAGATGCCATCATCTTTTATATATGATACATATATAGTTGAAAAGATTTAGAGATATATTAAATACTGATTGTTATTATTTTGGATCAAGTATTATCTTGGTACATTTTCCCTTTTTTTCAGACTTTTCAGACTTTCCCTTTTTTTCAGTGTTACAATATTCCTATTTAAATACTAACTATTCTTTCAAACATTGATCTCTTTTATTGTATCTGTTGTAAAAGGACCCAAGTAATCCACCTTGCCACTCAGTATTTTATTGCTTGTGAAGTTGAACTATTACCTAAGGCAGAAGGCAGTAGGAAATATAAAAAAACACTTTGTGCCATCCTTAGTATGTGCTGGGCTGTGCTTAATCGCTCAGTCGTGTCTGACTCTCGGCGACCCCATGGACTGTAGCCCACCAGGCTCCTCTGTCCGTGGGGTTTCTCCAGGCAAGAATACTGGAGTGAGTTGCCATGCTCTTCTCCAGGGGATCTTCCCGACCCAGTGATCAAGCCCAGGTCTCCCACATTGCAGGTGTTTTCTTTACCATCTGAGCCATCAAGGAAGCCCCATCCTTAGTCTGGGCTTACCTAAATTACAGTAAGGTGGATTGATGTATTAATATTCCTGCATTTCAGTCTTTAAAGTTGATCAGCAATATACATGGGTGTTACCATTAGACATGGAAACATATTCGTTTTATCTGCTGACTTATTTTGAGCAAGTTATTTACCTTCTCTGAACTTCTGTATTTTCACCTTTAAATGTTAATAATTTCATAAAAAATACAGATCAAACGTGGGTATCAGATACATAAAAGCTTTTTTTTTTTTAATGTCAGACAAGGAAAAGGTAACAATTTGGAGTCAAAAGTATGAGTTTGAGTTTTGGCCCTACTGAGTGGCCTTGGTCATATAATTTTAACTCATTGAGCCTCAGCTTTATTTTCTGGGAGTGAAAAAAGTGAGTAATATCTACCTAAGAAAAGTATTGTGATTAAATGAGATGATATGCAATATGTGAAAGTACTTTATAAATTTTGAACCACTGTCCAAGTAGTAATTGTTAGGAAACTTCAGCAATAGTATAACTGTTACCTCAGTATCCTGAAATTGCACTTTCAAAAGGACTAATAAACCTGTTAGAATTTGGTCCAAGTGCTGAAAGGCACAACTGAGTTTCGTTAAAGATTCAATGTGGTTATTCTTTGACTAGCAAGACTTAAGTATTGTGAAAATGTATTTTCCATTTTTTCCATTTCATTTTTATATCTTAGAATATATGCACGTTTCAGTAAAAAAAAAAAAAAAAGAAGTCATCAACAGAACACTGAAATCTGTAAGTTGCACT